CCATCCCCTCAGTAGCCTAATGGCAAATGCACCTATTTAAAAATCATAACAGAAATTAATATACCCAAGAGTGAATTGCTCTCTCATATTGTGATGTGCAGCATTCCCTGTTCTTGTTCAGTACAACATACAATCTTGAAGAGCTACATATTAGGAAACTCAAGTTTTTCCACTTTAATGACTCTATTAATAAAGAAGAACAACTACAGGAGACTGTGAACGTGAAGTAGAATAGGAAAACTAAATTTTAAATTAAGATTTACACTATCCAAGCAATAAAGGTACAAAGAACAAAAAATCCCCAAACCCTACTGCTTTGGGTTGCTCCAACATGCAGCACTTTTACATTACCTCTCCCAAGTGCAGAACTGGAAGGAGGGGTGGGTGGGAACCAGCTTTCAAAGCAGGTAACAATGGAACTTGTTAAAAAAAAATAATATTTATAGGCTTAAGGTCTGTTTGTTGCATAATCTTTACTGTATTTAAACAAACAAACCACCTTCCTACAGCATTAGAGCCAAGACCTAATATGAACTGCCTGTCTGAGAACAGCATCTGAGCAAAGCTGAGCGCTGACACTTGAGGAAGAGCAGATTTTCAAAACAGACAGTTGAATGGAAGCTTCACGCTCAGCACTCCTTGCCATTTGTCCTTTTTTAAGTCTATAAAAACTGAGCCTAAATCCTCCTCCGCTCTTCTCCCTTATGGACAGCAGTGGAGAGGTGAGGTGGTGATCTAGACCCAAGAGGGAAGCCCATCCCTGTTGGTTTGAAGCATCCTTGCCCGAGCCCTGTTCTAGGGCTGGTGCACAGCTGGATTCCATAGGATTAACACATCCAAGGGTGGAAGGATGGCTACCACAGTGGGACAAGAGCCAACTCTGAACCCTGACAGCACCTGTGAGGAGCAAGTGGGATAAAGGGAAACACAGTTTAAGGAGAAAAATACTCCTGGCCCCTCAGACTCACATGCCTCCAACCACAGGAAACACAAAAGAGAATGATCCTGTCCACTGGAAGCAGGGTTTCCTCTGGCTCAGTGTTTCCCTCCTTCTTGTAGCTCCCTTTTCCTTCTTTATCTCCCCAAAGAGAATGGGAGAAAACCTGGGTAGCAAATCAAACATGATCCCAGGAAGCTATGCTCGTGGTCACTTCTGGAAAATCACACAGGAAAACTAGGAAGCTTTCCACAGAACTTTGGAGGAACTCCACACTTTTCTCCAAAATGTCAATACCTCAGCAAAGCCTCCCACCCACCTCCATCTTCTACTATTTCTTGACTTCACGAAAGAGAAAAGGTACCAGGAACAATAATAAGAGACTTACTACCAAGAGGAGAATATCCCTTTACAAGCTGTAAGGCAAATAATTTCCAAACTATATGTATCCAGGTACAGACACAAAGATTAGCAGTGACAGTAAATATCATGAGCAAAGAATATTCAGTCTGGAAAGACAAAAAATAACACAACTAGTTTGGAAACTAACAGTTTCACACACACTCCTGAAAAGGCCACAGCAAGAGAAGCCTCAGAAGACCTAGACAACCTCCCTGCAGGCTGTTCTAATAAAAAGAATAACAAACTAATATAAATTTCGTAGTTTTAGTTTATATAGATACCATCAAACTAACCAGAAGTGCAAGAGGGCCCCTGTGGAGGGAGAAGAACAGCAGAGATGCCAAACCCATAACTAGAAAAAAAACTATTCTTACTCTGATGTTGGCCTCTCTCATGGGAATCCAGAAGGCTGAACCACCAGAATCCTCCAGTCATTGATACAGAACACAGAAGTAATTTTATGTCTTAAATCTGTGTTGTACTGGACAACCACTTTGGGATTTTAAAGCGCTGAAGATTCACTACCAACTATCAAAGCATACACCTGTAATAATCTTGGCTTGAAAAGGGCCTCTAAGTGTCCCATTTTCTTGAACTGGAGCCACCTAGTGTCACTGCTACCATGAGTAGCTACAACTCTGCTGTCTGCTTCACCTCACTCAAAAAATGTAAACTGCATAAATAAAAACTGAAAATAAAAGAGAAAAACCTGAATATCACAAAGCCAAGGTGGGGGAAGAAGGAGGGAATAAACTAAATCTCATCTGATTGCTGCACAAATCAGGGAGGGCTGTGGATTTCAAAAATCAAACCCAGCTCCAAATCAAAACCACCTCTCTGGCTTTAAGTGTGACCTTAACTCTGCTTCCACTGAAGTCAGTAGTACATTAATATAATTAATTGCTCAACCCAGAAGCATTCTACTGATACTTACCCATACCAAAAATTCAGTGCAGTACTTACAGAATGTGTACATTGCTGCCAAGTTAAATACTGGGCAGATTAAAAAAAAATGACTGTAACAGAGATGCTTGAACTCCTGGTGGTTGTTTTACAAAACACAGTGCTTTTCCCCTGCAGTATAAAAGGGTTTGTAATAAAGCAACTGAACTGAAGGATTCTGAAAGGACTTCTTCTAATGCTGTCCATAGCAAATGAGTTAAAGAAATGGGCACAAAATCATGTTGGTATGAAGACCCAGAGTTTTCTATGAAGAAAAGAAGTGCAAGGCAGAATGAAATCTGAGCGCCTGCTGGTTGCATTTGTAGGGCATGAGAAGGAACATCTGACACCCACACGTTTGACCTGTGGGGACTCTCCACAACTACTGGGCTTGCCCATCACGGGGCCACCTGATCCAGGGACAACATTAACAGCCTGTACTAATTGTTGGCTGCAGCCAAAGGCAGCCACCCTGGAACCCTTTTCGAATGCAGGTTTAAACAGCAATTGCGAAGAGAAGTGAACACACAGCTATTTGCCATTTTTGAAAATTGAGACTGTTAAAGGCACATTAACTAGATTACGAGCCAATTAAGACCACATTCCTTCACAATAATAATTAACACACAAGCAATACACTAAGGACCTACTAGCCCTATACATTCACCACTACAAAAACAATCCTGCAGGACTACAATTGTTCTGGAAACGAAAAACAGCAGCTCAATACTTTCAAATCCTGATTTCCTGTCAACACAGGCATCATCATTAAAAAGCAAAATTATTCATTAACTGAAATACTGTAGACTCCACTTTTTAAACCATGGAGGATAGTTAATTAGTTTCACAAATGCAAATTCAACCTTCTTAAATTAGCTTGTGCAAACCAACTGCACTTGCACACAAAGGAAACACTCACCCTGAAACAACTCTCCCCACTACCTGTTATTTAGGCTAAGGCTGAAAATATTAAGTTGAATTCACTTTTTTTTAAAACTTTTTTTTTTTTTTTTTAAGGAAAATAACCCCATCATCTTGCTATACTAATATTCTGATTCCTATTTTCAAACTTTATTCAGTGGATTATAATGAGGCTTCTGTAACTTGTTCCTACAAAGTCACTACTGCCTCATCACAGCTAATGATGGTGCTATGGAGACAACATCTGCTCTAGAAACACCCACAGATCCAACAACTACAGAACCATTTTGCAAGTAACATATATATGGAAACAATCACATATTTACCCACAAAATGTCAAATTCAACACCGAACACTATGCAACATAATCCTCTTCATTATTGTATTTCAAACTCTGTTTATATCCCCAACTTAATCCACCCTTAAAATAAGAGCTGCTCTCCAAAGCCATTAATTAACATGCTGATACCTATGAACCTTAATTGGTTATTAGTACATGTTAAGAGATTGTATAACAATAAGACGGCTGGTAAAGCATTAAAATATTTATAAGTGCTCTAAGAACAAAAGTTGAATGACTCATTCCTTTCTAATTCTCACCCTGGACACTCACACCAATGCATAAGACTTCTGATTGTCTAAGCCACAGCATGGAGACTAATTAACAGCAATGAAATACATTAAATCCCCCATGCGAAAAAAAATAACCAGTTAAACAGCTTTGGTAACCTAGTATACAGTTAGCTTTGTGTAAATATTTTTGCAAACATCCCTTCCCCCAAAAAAATCCCTATATACCATGTGTATATTTATATAATACACATATTTCCTGAGTAAATCGTTACATCTGATTATTTGGAAGATTTGGCAAAATATCCAACTTTCTATTACTAAAATAGAATTTTAAATAAACATTCAATAAACACATTGAAATAAATATGGAATGTTTCTGAAAACTCTAGTACCGTGAACTTACATTAATAACAAACAATATTTTGTAATGAAGTGCATACTAAGTTATATAGTTACTGTTTTTTAACCCACTGAGGAATCAATAAATATCATTTCTAATCCTGAGTGACAATTTTATACCATCTGCTAACGTGGACTTCAAGCAGCACTGGCTGCAAATCTACATTGCTTTAAATGCAAACTTTTTCATGGATTATGCTACAGAAAAGCTCAGTTTACAGTGGTTTAGCAGCACGACCTCTGAAGCATCTCACACAATCGACTTTAAACACTGATTATTCTTGCCAAACTGATAACCTGGATGACCTGATTCCCTGTCACAAAGGAGTGTGGATTGCTCTGACTTAGTGATGACTTTGGCACTTAAAAGAACTGTATCATGGTGCAAAATAAGCCCTGAAGGATTATGAAGTACCTTTCAAATGGATTTTTGTTTAACTATGTTAAATTGTATCACTAACAAAACAAAAAAAAGAGAGAATTAAGTTCTACCACACTCTGCTTTCTCAGGTCATGGCTTGACTCAGAGCTGGTCCACAGCTTTGGATAAGCACAGAAGGAAATGCTCAGCAATTGTTTAGTTCCCCTTCATCATGAAATTCTGACCTAGCAGACATTACAATACCAGCAATATTAAAATTGCATTAACACTACTACAGGATGTGTCTCTCAACTAACAGAACTGCAGCCCTGATCAGTTTTATTAACCCTTTAGCTCTTGGATAACCTCCCAAAACCCCCTTCTGTGGCACTATGCAGGACACTTGGCCCTTCCCTCCTCATCCTCAGCCTCCTGCCTCCTTTTTGCTACTATTATCACTTGCTATTACTCCACAATCCTCACAGGTTCCTCTGATTTTTCTTTTTTGCTTCCTTCGTCTTCACGTTCCACGTCGTTTTTTTCTTGTGTGCTTGTGTTTGGAGGACAAAGCTCTTGCAATGCCCTCTCAACAGCTTCTTGTTTTGCTGGGCAGCTGGGAGAGGTTCTTGGCAGGGTCATCTGCAGCGCGCACCACAAAGCCGTCCGAGCCTTGCGTGTGGAAGCAGCCAGCTCTCTGATGGCAGCTGCCAGAGCCCACAACATCTGCAACAGAAAAAAAAAACAGGACACAGGTTAACCTGGCATGGTAGCATTCAAAGATTGAAAAATCCTGTGGGTTTGTTCAACCCACCCCCAGGACATTAAGTGTGCTGAGGAAACAGCTCAGGTTGTAGCCTGGTGGAACTCGCTCAGGTAACGTTCTTCTCTTGCAAGTAACAGCTACAGCATCTCCCACTCACAGCAACCATAATCATGTCCAAAATTCAGTGGCATAACCATCACGTAACACAATAATGAAGGCCATTTAACCAGTGTTATCAGAAGGGGGTAGCTACAATGATGCTCAACAAGTATAATCAGCCAACTGACCTACTCAATTTCAGCCAGATGAACCTGATGCAGTAACTTCTCCTTTGTCTTCCTTTCAGTGGCCCTGACACCAACCCAGCCCCACGGTGAGAAAAGGCTCCATCACCACCAGCAGAACTCAAAGAAACATGAATTTCACAGCAGAAAATGGACTAAAGGCTTTTCCATATGTGACTTAGACTGTGTGTAGACCCTCAGCAGCTGCACAGCTCTGTCAGAAACACAACTACTGCAATTCTGTAACTACAAGTATGATCCACAGGTGGTTCCAACAATGCCCCCATATACTTTTGCTATAAAACACTATCAAAAACACCATTTTGTAGGATGATTTTTGGGGGGTTGGGTTTTTTTTTTTGCTGTTGTTTTGTTTGTTTGGGTTTTTTTTTAAGATGATGACTACTTGCTTCCTGGCTTAGGCTTCAGGCTAACAGTCACATTCCACAATTTTAGGAATGATTTTGGAAATTGGTTTTCTTATAGGACTATTACTTTTGAAGTCATGACATCATTAAGAAGGTGCTCAACACCTAACTTGTGAAAGTAGGACATTTGGACTCTCTTGACAGTTGATCTTTCCCTTCTTATGAAGAACTATCCCATAAACACTGTTGAAAGCTGAAAGAACCACAGTTGGGGCTGTTCAGCCTGGAGAAGAAGTCTCCAGGGAGACCTTAGAGCACCTTCCAGTGCCTGAAGGGGCTCCAGGAAAGCTGGGGAGGGACTTTTCAGTGATAGGACAAGGGGTAATGGTCTAAACAGAAAGAGGGAAGATTTAGGTTAGAAATTAGGAAGAATGAGGGTATTCACCATGAGGGTAGGAAGGCACTAGAATAGGTTGCCCAGGGAGGTTGTGTAAGCCCTTTCCCTGGAAGTGTTCCAGGCCAGGTTGGATGAGGCTTGTGCAGCCTGATCTAGTGGCAGGAAGACTTAGATTTATCAACTCTTTTTGCTGAAGCGATAATAATTGCCGCGTATTTCAAATCTGCATTTTTAAAGTGTTTTCACAATTAAAACTTTGAACAAAAAAAACCTTTCAAAACTAGAGGACTGGAAAGCAGTTACCTTTCTCGTTATTAAAACGTGGTGCTCCTTGCCTCTGTGGGTTAGCAGCATTGACAATCTCCTCCTTACGCCTCGCCTGGGTCACACGAACGGCTTCCGCGTGCCGTTCCAGCGCGGCGGCAACGTTCCCGTGCACAGCTGCACCACAAAGCCTTTCCATTTTCCCTATCAGCGTGAGCACCTGCCAGACACATTGCAAAAGGTCAAAACTGCTAAGTCTTCATAGAACCAAGAGCATTTAAAATAAAACGCAGAAATTATAGCTCAGGAAAGTTCACCCTGGCTTGTTCTCGGAACTGGTCGACGATCAAGCGATCAACTCGTGACGGGTTCGCAGGGAGCCGGGACACAGGAGGGTTATTTGAGCTAGAGATGCGCTTTCCTGGGAAGCTTCTTGCCAGGTCAGCCTCAGTCTGGAGGGGAAATAAACAGCCAATAATAGTGTTTGATATTAATACAACATCACAATCCGTATTCTTTCAGCTATTTAGAGCCTTCAGATACACTAGAAGGGCACTTCCTGTCTTTACTCCTGACTGCGGTGACCGAAAAATGTTCCCAAATATCTGTCTGGATGTACAACCTGCTGGAAGAATAACAATAGTCCTCTAATCCAGCTGTACCTCAGCCTACAATGCTCAGTGTCATTCTGGACTGTACAAGTTGATTTTACCCAATCCTGGGCACAGGCACAAAGACATTCTTCTGCAGTATCCCAGGAATTTAACCTGCACGTCTCTCACTGCATCATTTAAATGTCACATATTATGGTTATTAACAATAGCTAGACATGATCACAACAGCATAAGCTGCATCTGAAGTGCATCAGGATTTAGCCAGACTTTAGGCAAGCTGGTGTCAACTCTGAAAAAGTCATCACTAGAGCTGCCAAAGTCCTCACTGAGGGAGGAACTGGTCAAACCACCATGCAATGCAGGCAGTGACTAAACATCACCAAACCTATCTTTTATTAGGAACTTCTTACATTTGGAATTAAAAAGACAGAACTAGCAGCTCATTCCTTCTCTCATTCCTTCTTCAGGACTTAAAGAAAGACTAGGCACCACATTGCAGCTCAAGGTAAAGTTCAGTCCACAGTCACACTATGCACATTTGTACTGAAAATGTGTTGGGAGCTCCTTTTTCTTGCTTTACTGACACATCCAAATTATTTAGTCTCTGCCCTCATCTAACATGAACTACAAGAGCTGACTGACTCCAGTTGCCTTCATCTCAGAAGCCTGAAAGACACTCAGAAAGTAATAGATGGAAAAAAGGTCACGAATTCATGTAACACCAGTTATTTAAAAATTACAACTATCAAGTAACTTGCAGAACTAATCCATATGCACGTTTAATACTGCAGGGAATTCCAAACAGACAATTCGTACAAACTTTTTAAATGAGAGATCCAGGGAAAAGGTGAGACTTATAAAAGGAAACATGTAATCTCACGGTCAGTGAGAGCTCCAAAGCATCTGCAATGGGCAGGTTTCTGAGAGCTGAACAAGTTGACTGATCAGACAGGCTAGAATGAAATGCAAGACTCTCTGGGGGGAGTTTCTGTCTAAACTCTTAAGGAATTCACAAAGGGTGAGAATATCAAAGGGGTGAGAATATCAGAATAAAGTCCATTCCTACACAGACCCCTACAGGTGAGCTACACATACACTGGGCAGCTGTACAACACTGAACACCCTGGCACTGTCCTGGGATAGCTGAACTTATTGAGGGCTGTCCTAGCCCCTGCCAACTAGAACTCATCCAAACTGTACCTAAAAAACTGGGGGGGTTATTTAATTAATGCAGTCCAGGCACATTCCTATTAGGCACTTGGGATGCAGCCATTCAGGACCATGGATTATCACACAGAATCACAGAATATTAGGGGTTGGAGAGGACCTCTGGAGATCACTGAGTCCAGAGCAGGACCACCACAGAATCTAGAGCAGGTCACTCAGAAACACATCCAGAAAGATCTTGAAAGTCTCCAGAAAAGGAGACTCCACAACCTCTCAACAACCTAGTTTCCAAGACCTGGTGTGGAGTTCAGAGATTTGACTCCTCTTGGGAAGTATTTCCTGCTCTTTTTGAGCGTAGAGCTTTTCAAAGAGTAACATATTTATCAGTAGTGAGATCCCTCCCAGACAGTAACTCCAAGTAAGAGAGTCTGAGGTAGGAAAGTGTAACAAGAAGTGTATAAATGGAACATTCCTTTGGGAGAAGTCACATCCAGCCAAAACATTGGACGTTTCTCTCCAGCTGTGTACAGGGTGTCCAGGATTCTTTTCTTGCTTTTCTTTTTACTAAACTAAAGATTTAGTAAAGCAAAACCAAAACAAAACATAAAAAAAAAAGCAAACCACAACAGAAAAAAAAAAAGTGGAAAAGTGGAAGACACCACTACATCACTGACAGCAAAAAAACCACCAAAAAACCAAAAACCCACAGAAGTTTCTCTCCTTAAATGACTGTGCAAGGAAAAGGAGAGTCTGGGTTAATTTTGAGTTAAATCTTGAATTAAAGTTTCAGCTGGAAGGGAGGAGTATGGGACAAGAAAAGAAATCCATCTAACTCAGCTGTGCAATATGAACATGTAGAGCACTGAGGTGCATAAAACACCAGTACTTTAAAAAGCACCTGTGGTGAGAGCCCTGCTGTACCATCATATATGGCTGGTGGATCTAAAATTGTAACAAAGGCCTGCTGGATTAATAGCAACTAGTTAATAGTCTTTTACCGACCACATAAAACATCCAAACTAAGTATACTTCAGTACTTTGGCCAGTGACATGGTTGCCATGTTCATTGCAAGCAAATATTGTTGGCTAACAGAGAGAAATGTTGTGTTAGCAGTCTGGCCTCAGGGTAAAGAGTCTTAGGAACTGAAGCTCAAAGTCACACACCATTTCAAACCAGTTGCACACAAAAAAAACCCTAAACCCAGCATTTTATTCAAAGCAGGTGTTGTAGTTGGTGTTCTAGGTATTTAAAACTAACAAAAGCACAACAGAACTTTCACCTCCCCAGAAGTGACAGCCCAGAGTATCTACTGCCTACAAATTGTTTCATGTGATCACCAGCTTTGTTAGAAAGTCCCTACCAGGTGTGTTTTACCTTCTTCCTCTCTTTCTCCAAAGCTCTCCACTGCTCGTAACACTCCTCCAGTTGGATATGGAGCTCGTTAGCAGGCCCACTGCGACTTCTTGGAGGTCTGAACTTGTTAAATGGAGCTGGAAAGGCCAAGTATGGTGCAGCTACCTCCCCACAAAACAGATCACTGATGACAGGGTTCAAGTGGTTAAAATCGTCGTAACGCAAAAGATCAACAAGCTCTGAGAACGGAAATGGTGACGGAGGAAAACTGAAATTACCTCCTGATGAAAACAGATGGTGATTAAATGAAGGAAAGTTGGGATTTTGCTTAAAATCAGACGTTAGTGGGAAAGAAGGAAGAAAAGAAGGATTGATGAAATCTGACAAGCTACTGCCATTTTGTTCATGTTTTTTTCGGAACACGTTGAACTGCTGACGGTTTGGGGTTGGACACCCGAACTGAGGAATCCAAGTCCTTCTGCCTCTTTTATCAGCTTTATTATGCTCTTGGGTCTGCTTTTTTGGAAATCGGTGGTATTTTTCAAGGTCCCCACTTGCAGCATTCTGCTGTGCTAACCAGTCGGAGGAACAATTCCTGGGGAATCTGTGGTACTGCCCCTCCACGTTAGCCGGAGCATCGCGCTGCGATCGTCCCACGGGCTTCACCTGCTTCTGATGTTCTGAGAGGAAGTTAGAAAGTCCCAAATGATTAGAAATACCATTTGACGTTGGTAACTTTCCATCTTTCCTTGGAGGGAGGGCAGGGGAGATCTGCGAGTGGTAAGACTGTGTTCTAGACTGATGGGTGGGAGAACCACTGGGCACAGCTGAAGCCCCTGACGATGACTGCGGACTCATCACCACTTGCTTTCCGTACGTGGCATCTGCAGCAGCTGATGGACCTGCAACCTTCCCATCCAACCACATATGTCCATGGTACAAGGAATAATTCCCATTTTGCATAACTTTTTTGACAGATAAACCATATTCAGAAGCTTGATTAGAGCATTCTTGAGGACCAGTGTGGATCTTATATTCGTTATTATTAAAATCGTCCCCCAAAGTCAAGCTATGATGACCGTTTTGCATCTGAGTTTTTGCATCCTCTTGCTTTCTGTTTGTCCTTCCAGAAAAATTATTTTCTGTAGGGATTTGATTAAAAAAATATAGTGATGAATGAGCAGGTGACTGCAAATTAGGAGCAGCTGTGAAGTTTTCATATCTCTTAGAAAATAACTGGCTGTCCTGGGACACTTTATCCCAAGAGCCATCAAGAGTCTGATGGGAAAGATCAGGGGAATACTTAGCTTGTTCTTGAGCATGATTTTTCATAACTTTGCCTCTAGCTCTGTCAGCTTTCCAACTCTCTTTCTGAATGCTAGTGCCTTCTTTCATTCTGTTCTGGGAAGAAAAAGTGCTAAAATTGGGATTGATTTTCTCGTAGTCTCCATTTAACCTCATATGGTCATAATTTCCCAAATGCTCATCACAGTCTACACTTTGAAACGAAAACATTTCTTGGAGAACTGTGTTATTATTTTGCAAAGAGGAATTCTCAAGGTAACTGTTCTTCAGAATATTATCAGGCTGAGTGTAAGGGCCAGATGGAGAAAGCCAAGACTCTATGAAGTGAAGATCTTCCAAACCTCTGTGTAACATCTCCACATCATGAGACTTTTGCAAGTGTTCCTGATAGCCCATCTGTGTGCCCATCAGGTTTGAAAAATCCTTACTTTGAATAGAATGAGAATTAGGTGAGAGCCCTGAGAATTCACCATTGCTTCCAAGGTCAGGTGCCCACATTGGTGGAAACAGTCTTGAAAGAGAATTCCTGTAACAAAGTTAAACAAACTTCCTTTAACACACTTCTGACACTAAAAGAGTTGACATCTCAAGATCCCTTTCAAAGCAAACCATTCTATGATTGTACCCACACACATTTACCCCATTACTGAACATGCACAGCCCTCCTCCAGAA